TAATGTTATTAGTAGAAAGATGGAATTTGAGGCTTTTTATCCTGGAGTGAAAGAATAAGGAGAAGCACAGTAAATATATTCCCACCTCTTAAAATGTTAAAACCAACAATCATAAAAACTCAGTGCAGAGATTCAGGAAGGAAAATACATAGTCAAATGATAGTAGTTGCTGCCATCCAAGGTAAGGATGGCCACCAACATAACTGAGGAAACAAGTCCATGAAGAAACAGGGAGCATTCCTTAATTACCTGCTGATGGGGAAAAGTAGAAAGGTTGGTTAGTACCCAAGACCATCATCTTCTTGGACAACCCTTGACCAGCACCTGTTTGATGTGGGCATTCCTTAGCCCAAAAGCCACTGGAAGGTTTCAGACTAGCAGTACAATCTTTTTTTTTTTTGGTTGCTGTTGTTGTGCAGAGGAACTCTTCAAAAAGCAAAATGTTCGTGGAAGCCTTTGCTTAGACCAACGATTTTCAACCACAGTCATTTAAAGTTATGTGAACTTCAACTTGCAAAATTCGATCGAACATGCTGGCTGGGGAATTCTGGGAGTTGGACTTCATCTATCTTGGGTTGCTAAGGTTGAGAAACACTGGTTTAAATGAACAACCTCCAAACGTAATTGCTCCAAAATGAACACCACCCATGTCAACAGCAAAATTATTTTTTAAACTCCCACCATTATAGAAAATGTCCATCCTAAGCTAGTGTTGTTGGAAATCAGGGACATTGACTCAGCCTTCCATCCTACCGAGGTGGGTAAAATGAGGACCCAGATTGTTGGGGGCAATTTGCTGACTTGGTAAACTGCTTAGAGAGGGCTGTAAAAGCACTGTGAAGCGGTATATAAGTCTAAGTGCTATTGCTATTCATGAGGCCAGCAGGTGGTGAAGAAATTAAAAAGTGGCATCCACAACTGTGCCAAGCCCCACCTCGTGCATCATGCCTGTCAACCAAAGTGGGGCTTCGATGGCATAGGGGTAGATGCCATTTTGACTCTTTTGACCTCTCCCCCCCTCCCCCGGCAGATACCCTGGTATAAAAGAGCTCTATTGCAATTGCCAACAAAGCCTGCATATTTTACAGCCATGTGAATGAAACCGAGCAGACGTTGGTGGCTTGTTTCCAATGGATGGTGAGTAAGAATTTTTTGGAGTGGGTGGGAGGCGATGGAGGAGTCAGTGGCCTCCTTTTCCCATCCACAATCCTGCATTTCTGGAAAGGCCATTACAATCCTACAAAGAAGAGCGTGGATTTTTGGCTCCAGCAAGTCGTAAGGTGATCGTAGTACCTCCATTTTTGTACGTGTCATAAACAGATTTCAAAGAAATAATAAAAACATGAATAATTACATGGTTCAACCATTCGATTGTGAAATCCCAAATTTATACAATTTTGGGAAAGATGCCCAAAAATAACTGATTATGCTCCATCAAGTTGTTTTCTCAACTATTAGCAACTACACAGATAGATTTTTCTCCATGACAATCTGTCCCTATCCTGGCATTCAGGTCTTCAAAGTGAATTAGGAGAAGACAATTTATGACCATGGATCACGGATGGAGAAGATTTGGATGGATGGATGGATGGATGGTGAAGGTTTTTCTGGATGGAGGGCTGGAGGGATAATAAAGACTTCAAAAAAATATGTAGAGTACAAAATACTTATTATTACACATACTGACTGCTGCAGATTGCCTTTACCCAGTGATGGAAACAGCCATATACACCTGTAGAGGAACTGGTTATACAAAAAGTTATGAATTGTGCTGAAATGGATTAAATTAACGCTGAGTTTAAAAGATAAGGAATCTTCAATATTTTATAAGGTATGGGGACAATGGTATAACTGGATAGATCGGAGACAGACTAAGGATGAGTAATTATTAAATATAGAATATAGATAAAATAATATAATTATGCACAAATTAATATTTGTAAATATCGCACAAAGGATTGTTACACGATAAGCATCACAAACAGCTGTTATTATATATTTTTTATGTTTTTAATGTAATAAAATTCAATGAAGTTTATTTTAAAAAAAAAAAAGACTTTACTGGGTGGATAGAGAGAATTTTCTGGACTGGGGGGGCAATGGAGGAGTCAGTGGCCTCCTTTTTCCCACCACCCCCACCCCCACCTCTGGATTTCAGGGGAGAGGCCGTTGCAATCCTCCAAAGAAGAGCCGGGGACCTTTTGAAGCTCCTCCATTCCTCCTGCCACGGGTCCAGCCCTCCGTCGAAAGGAGCTTCTGGCAGAGCCGCGGCGGTTGCGCCCCCAAAACTGCGGCAAAGACCGCACGCCCGGCTCCCTGGCCTTCCGCCCCCCCCCCCCACCCCCCCCCCCCCCCCCCCGGCGGGGCGGGCGCGGCGCGGGCCCCCCCCCCCCCCCCCCCCGCGCGAATGCTGCTTTCTCCCTCTAAAGTTGTTGCTTTTCCCCAGGCGGGCATGCAGGCACGCAGAACTCCTCCGGCTAGACCGTTTCCACGACGTCTGGGTTTTCTCTCTCCTCTCCCCACCCCACCAGGGACGGGACAGGCAGAGAGCAACGGGACGCGTGTGTGTGTGTGAGAGAGGAGGCTTTTTATCACCGTGCCCAACGTTTCCCACCCCCCCCCCACACACACACACTCACACATACACACTGCAGCGGGCATCATCCCGGCGCAAGGCCTGGGCGCTGCGCCCCGACGGGGGGGGGGGGCGTCCGCGCGCTACCCCGAAGCCGCGCGACTGTTTGCAGGAGGGAGGGAAGGGCAGGGGAAAAAAGTGGCGGGGGGGGGAGAGGCGGCTTCCTTGCCCTGACCTGACACCAGCCTGGCTGGAGCGGACTTGGCGGCCTGCCAGACACCCCACCCACCCACCCCCGCCAGCCCCGTGATAAGAGTCGCGCAGAAGGCGCCCCCCGGCAAGATGGCCGTTGTTTAGTCTGCGCCGCGGCCTTTGCTCGGCAGAGCCGGGCATTGGGTCACAGGGCGCCTTGCCAGCCTGCAACTGCTCCTGCTACCCCCGCCGCCGCTGGGGAATGGCCAGTCTCGAGACTGCCAGGGAGACCAAAATCCCCAGACACGTCCAGGCTTCTTCGGGCCCCCAGGAAAAACACACACACACACACACACACACACACACACACCCCTTGGATGAGGGAAACGCGCCCACCCTGCTGCCGGCGGCCGCCTCCCCTGCTGGCTTCTCCCGGGAGGCGAAGAAGCGGCTCCCCTGACCGTCCGCGTCCCGAAATGGGCGCCTGGCTGAGGAGATCGCATTTGGTGTTGGAAAAGGAGGGAGGGAGCGGGTGATGGGGAGCTGGCCTTGTTGCCTTTGCCTTGTGTCCGGGCCGGACGTTGGCAAGGAAAGGAAGGGTGCTGAGAGATTGTCAGGAAAATAATTTGGGGTTCCAACTCGAGCCGGCTTCGCAAGAATAAATAAAAATGAGATCCAAACTGCAACTGAACTCCACTCTCTGCTTGCTCGTTTTAACAATGCTATAGCCAGCTCCACAAATGTATCATTATCAAAACATATTACAGAAATATCTGGAATTTTGCATAGGCACTTAAGTGTTTTTCCTCTTTTTTGCCCTTGCATTTCTCTGAAAAATTTCTCCGAACTCATTTTCTTCCATTACTTTCAGTCCGAAAGCAACTAATGGATTGAGCAGAATCTTTGTGATACTATTACTAATCACGATCTTTGTGACCTCTTTATGTGCACAAACTAGTTTTTCTGTAGTTGCTCCTGGGCAAAAGGCGTAATATAAAAAGTGATGACTTTGGAGGAGAGCTAATTATGGTGTAAATGACTGATTAGTCTCCTTAAATGTAATACTATAGTCTTATAAAAATCACTAAGGTTTCTTGGGAGAAATTTACAAAATAAGGAGGCAAACAGACAGTTATAGTTTATCGTAAATTATCTGGGATTAATGAGTGATGAGGTAACTTTAGTTAAATTTCTTGGAAAAACACGAATGGCCCAAACTCTGTAAAAACAGCATTTTTAACTCTTTATCCTTAAAATTAAAGAAAGAAAATATAAACAAGGGAGAAAAACCCATTGGGAATGAACCAAAATGAATGCTTTCCTGACAGAACAATAAACCAGTGGAACACTTGCCTTCAGAAGTTGTGGGTGCTCCATCACTGGAGGCTTTTAAAAAGAGACTGAACAGTCATTTGTCTGAAATGGCATAGAGTCTCCTGCCTGAGCAGCGGGTTGGACTAGAAGACCTCCAAGATCCCTTCCAATTCTTATTCTGTTATTCTGATTTTGAATTATATAGGCCACCCGTTAAAAAGAAAATACCTTTTCTCTGTATTGTTTCAAAATAAAATGGAATGGAATCCTGCTGCTTTTCTCATGAGGAACTGAAGTAATTCCATTTTCATATCAGTTATGTATCTTAAATTTCATCAAGAAACTTTGAGGGTGTACTTGCAATGATTTGAACTTTTTTTTTTTAACATTCACTAATAATTTTGCAAACAGACCCTAGGAAGACTGTGAAGCTGGCAACCTTTTTGGTATTTAAAACAATGCATAAACTGACTACCTCTCTAATTAATGGACCTATGAAGAAATTATGACTGTCTGTGCATTTGGCTTTTTTCCAGAATTAAAAATAAATAAATAACACACAGAAAAGCCTTATAATTAAAATTGTTTTGAATAGCAGTGATAATGAAGTCATTTTCATAATACATTTAAATTTTATTCAGATTCATTGTTTTATCAGCTGAAGTGCTTTTTATACCTCCCCAAAAAACCTACACTGCAGTAAGAACAGTTTTTTAAAGATAACCCAGCAATTACTTCCACATATTAATAAAACTGCAATGATCAAGTAATATTTGCAGCATTAAATACTCATGTTTTTAAAAAGAATTAAATCTGCTGTGTTAAATTCCATGACAGATTTATTTTATTATGTTGTAGGATACTGAATATGCAATAATAATAGATACTGAATTACCGTTTTGTTAAAATTATTATTTGATACTGAAACTAAATTAGGGTTTGATACCAAAATAATATCTCAATCCAAAAAACCTGTAATTATCATGATTTTCATTAATATTTGCAGTTAACATTGTGGCATATTTCTTTGAAAAAGAAAAAGAAATTATATGAATTCTGCAGTAAATTATTCATTTGTTTTATTATTTTAGATGTCTAAATTCACATTGGGTCTGGATGAACTTAATTTACCCAAATATCACACAGATCTTGTGTGCACAAGATGAAAAGAGATGTTGAACATTGAATGGTAGTGTGGCAGATTTACTTAGTTCCAGTGAATCTGGTTAAAATGAAATTTAAATTCAGCTATATTGAATGCATTTTGACTGGAACAAGATCTAACTATAAACACCTCTTCCTCCGAAAATAGATTTAGTACAATTCAAATCATCCTGATCACTTCCTTCTCTCCACTTTTATATATATTTATATATATAAAAGTACCAAGTACCAAATAGTTGTAGATGAGGTGGATCAGCTGATATTTCCATATTGTGACACACACATTGTTATCTATTTTTGGGTGAGCTCCAGGGGTGGGATTCTACAGGTTTGCACCTATTCTCTAGAACCAGTTGTTAGCAGTTCGGAGAACTGGTTGTTAGAAGAAATTTCTGGCCTAATCCTGTAAGGAAGGCAGGAAGGAAACATTCTGGTGTTGTTGCTTACAGAAACTGCCTCTCTGTTAACCCTTATTATATTCTTGGCAGGACTAGACTTCCTGTCTCAGGAACATCTCTGGAGTTTTTTCCCCCTCCTTTGCTGGTACTTTGCTTGTGTGGAGTGACCATTCAAAGTTACAATGGCACTGAAAAAAGTGACTTATGACCATTTTTCACACTTACGACTGCTGCAGCATCCCCACAGTCATGAGAGGCCAGGCAAGGAGATGCGTGCCTCAATGTGAGTGATATTGAGTTGGCCACACCCAACCAGTCACATGACCACCAAGCCACACCCACGAACTAAGCCACGCCCACAGAACGGGTTGTTAAAAAAAATTGAATCCCACCCCTGGTGAGCTTATTATCCAACTCCAATTAATATTAATAAATGGCACCTTGGCTAGGAAAGGTAAGCTTTTAATGATTAAAGTTTTGCTCTGATTAAACAAAACTCTTTCCCACCCACACTTTTTCTCCCTTTCATTTTTGGATGGTAGACTGGGGTTACAACACCGGGCTAAAGGAACAGATCTGAAGAAAGTGCAGCTTCCAAATTTTTATTTATTCCTTGGGTAAATAGCAGATGTCCCCGACTAGTTCTTAATGAAAACGGTTGGGCTGTTGTCATTGTTCTCCAAAATCCTTACAACCACTTGCTTGGGGAAAAGGGCTGGATATCAGGGAGATTTTACTCATAGGGATTTGGGGTTCATGACAGATTAAAACATGGCCCCACCCAAGCAAATGTAGAGAGACAATGGAGGCATAAAGTTGCTAGTATAGTTTTGAATCAAACTGTTCTTGGAATTCTTAAGTTACCACTTATTCACTGTTTAAACCGGTGTTTCTCAACCTTAGCAACTCTGGACTTTGGGTCCCAGAATTCCCCCGCCAACTGGTTTAAACACTGTTTTAAAATAAATATCACGTTGCAGAAATTCTTGGCTTTTAGGAATTAAAACTGACACTGGTTTTGAATAGCCTCCTGGATCAACACATGGTGAATTTGTCCCTGTATGTTCAGCATTTTAAATACATCATTTTCAGCAGAATTGAATGGTTTCATTTATTTTATTTTAATTTATTTAAAAGTGGGGGTGAAGCATTTCCAGTTGTTTGTTTTAATACAACAGGGACTATATTAGCTGTTGTTGGTTTAAATGCACGCTGGAATCCACTTTTACACAAAGTTCCGTTCCTAATTTTTTTTAAAGAAACAGTCAGTTGGATTTGGCAACAAACTTGTTCTAAAAACTGTTGTTCCTGGGTGATGTAAAAGGACAAATAAGAAAAAAAAACGAGAATATCCCTGAGTTGAATGACACTAGTATTGGATTGTAGAGTGTCATATCTACTTCCTGGGTCACCATAGGCAGATGTGAGTCACAAGCAGAGGCACCTGGAGAAGAGGGTGTCAAAAGAAGTGAAAATAGTGATTGTGACCTTGAGCCCAAAGCCTCACATCTTTTTCATGTGCATTGCATTTGCAATGCATGAAAAAAAGAATGGAATGAAGCTTCAGCCAAGGTTGCAACTGCCATTTTGATCCCATTGAACATTCCAGGTCATAGGATTTAACAGAATACAGATATAATCAAGAAATATTGTGATTGTAGTTTTGACCCTTGTACAAAAGGAACATATTTCAGTTCCTATTTAGGTTTTATATATATAAAACAGTCTGTGCTGAGGTGAAACTATTTGATATAAGAAACTTCTCAATTGAGGTTTGATTTTTGGATGTTTGTAGGAGGAACAAAATAGCAATAAAGCTGAACATTGTATTTGGATATCCCCTTTCAGGCTATTTCATAGCATGAAGTGGGTCAACTGATATTTTCATGCTTGAAAATCCTGTCCAAAATCTGGCTAACTTGTCCTCCCTGTGCCTTTTTTAACTGGTCTTCCAAATAGGTTGACCAAGATAGTGGTCATTTCAGTGAGCTTATAGCCTCTGTTCCGTAATGACAACCATGGTTACCACAGCTTTGCTAATAGCTAATATTGTTGAGTGAATCAAGATTAGGCCTACTCAGACTTCAGTCTCAAAACCTGAGGCCAGTTACAATGGACATAATGGTGGTTTTTTTTTTCAGGAGCCCCATTTAAGAGAAAACTGTCTAATGGTGAAACACGGTGCAAACATTTCAGTAGGTCAACAAAGCATCTTTCTCCCTTGCTTTAGCCTCCTATCCTAGCAAAATATGTTGTCCTATTTTAGGATTTTGGTTTGGGGATGAATGACTAATACAGGTTAACCAAAGAGTGCAAATATCTATAATAAATTTTAAATGGACCCAAGCTGAACTCAAAATAGCTTTTTATCAACCCTCCAAGTAGCTATCTGTCACTGAAGATGCAACCCCTTTATGAAGCACTTCCGCTGGTGCTCTCAACTTCTCCTAGAGAACCATTCTTCTGAGTGTGAGTTGGAAAATTCCCTATATTAAAAACAGCAGCTAAAAATTTAACAGTTGAGATTGTCCAGGTTGTGCAATCCTGGTGTAGGGAGCAAGGAAGATGAGCTTGGGTGAAATACGCAGGAACCATTTCCTAAACAAAAAGGGCTTTTTTAAGTCCAGAGCAATGAGATACCATTCAGAAGCAGTTCAGATGGACCCCTCCCTGATTATCTAGCATGTAAGAAATGGGACGAAGTATAGCACCATCAGATTTGAGGAATTCTGCTAGGATAGCCCATCTTTGGTCTGGTTTACCACATGGGGGCTGAGAGACAGGCCTTTTTTTCCTGGCAGTCATAGCAAACCTGCACATAGCCCCCCGCCCCCCAATCCTGCCTTTTTAACAGACTCATCCAGAACCACCATTCAGCACTAACAACTCCAGTTCGTGGCATATTCTGTAGACAATGGTTAGAGAGGGATTCTTGGGGACTCCAGAGTCTTGCTAGACCGAATAAAGTTTGGATTGAGATATTGCCTCACCAGTGATATCAGATTAATGCTAATAGACCAGTGTTTCAACACTGGAAAGATAAATTTATGGCCCAGTTAGACTTGATGTCATTGGAGATTCATGGACGAGTTGTTTCCAGACATAGATGATTGATAGGCTATTAGAATGAAATATGGTTATCCTTTATTCAAACTGTTATGGATATGTGTGTGTGTGTGTGTGTGTGTGTGTGTGTGTGTGTGTGTGTGTATCCAGACAGACACAGATATATACAGAGGAAAAGCCATTCTATATGGGACGTCCTCAACTCATGACCACAACAGAGCCCAAAATTTTGATTACTAAGCAAGGCAGTTGTTAAGTGAGTTTTGTCACATTTTATGGTCTTTTGCCATGGTTGTTAAGCAAATCACTGCAGTTGTTAAGTGAATCATGCAGTCATTAAACAAATCTGGCTTCCCCCATTGACTTCGCTTGTTGGAAGTCAGCTGGGAAGGATACAAATGATGATCATGTGACCCAAGGACTCTACAGCTATCATAAATACATGCCAGTTGACAAGCGCCCGAATTTTGATCACATGACCATGGGAATGCTGCAATGGTTGTAAGCATGAAAACGGGTCGTAACTCACTCTTCAGTTCCATTGTAACTTCGAATGGTCACTAAATGAATGATTGTAAGTTGAGAACTACTTGTAGAGTATATTTAATTATTGTTATGGTCGTGGTATTGCTTTCTTTTTTTCCCCCTTTTCTCTTTTATTTTTATCTTGTCTTCTCTTTCATTAAATATAGAGAATAAAATAAATGCCTGACATCTATCCAGTAAACAAATATGAGGAAAATTCCTGAGTTCTGAGACGACTTGTTAGATTTAATCTGATTTTTCCTTCAGAATCATAAATATGTAGTACTTCCTCCTGCTATTTCTCTGCACAAAACAACAACCCTGTGAAGCAGACTGGACAGGAGTGACTGGCTCAAAGGGATTAGAATCAGTATCTCCTGAGGCAACATTAAAAGAAACTTATAAACGATTTTATCTTGACTACTCACGAATCAGTGTATAGAACTACTTTTATTTTCAAAATTTTCAAAATTAAACCTGATTATGCTTAATAAAAAAATACTTAAATCTGCTTTAAAATGTAAATGCAAGCTGAGAATATTTTAAGGTGAGAAATTTGTTTTGAACAGTGAAGAAAAAGATTTAGGGTATACTTTTCTTAAGCATGGAAAGTAATTTGAATTAAATGCAAGCATGTTCAACTACTACTTTCTTTGGGATGCAATGCATAGGCCCGAGGTTTTTTTTTTTTTTTTAAGTCCAACAGTTATTCCTGGCTAAGGAGAGGAGCTCCTTGCCTGATCTCCCTCCCGGGGGATATGACCCTTTTAATGCTCTTTAGTTAATGTATTGGTGATCTTTACTTAGGCAAAATAAACAGTGTTGAGCTTTACAAAGAGGGGGTCATGCTCCGCGCATTGCACTCTGACCTCAGGGTTACGGCCTTTGTTCCCTTCTCAATGGGAATTGCTCTCTAAGGGCCATCACAAAATGGAGAACTAATTTGGGCCACGTGCTGGCATGAAAGGGAAAACGTATTAGGATAACTTCATTGAAGCCTCTTCGGATCTAACCTGAGCATGCAAAGAAATAAAAACCACGGCATGCTTTATATTCCCTGCAAATGTTGCACATTCACTTCATTTCCTTGCTACATCCAGAGCCTAAAGCTGATGAATGATCTATTCAAAGGTTTGATACAAATGTGATTTACAAAGTCCTTTTTGATGAAATGCAATCTGATTTTTTTGCTAAGTATTATTATTTAAGTAATAGTCTTGAATGTCAATTTATCACACTCTGCCTCCCAGTTTAAGCCTTCTGCTAAAAATTCAACATCTTATTATTGAAAGAGAATTGGGATTAGTTTCCAAAAGTGTCACGTCACGTATTTTTGCTCCTGCATACCCCAAAAGTGCTAAGAAGCCTATTTAGACGAAATAGAGAAAAAAAGTCTTTGAAGCCAGGAGAATTTCCCTATGCTCTTCTGCGTATAACCCAGGCAGAATTTAAAAAGATCTACATTTTAAAATTCAGTAAGGATTTGTCTACTAAACATTTTGCCATGTAGTTTTTCACTGGCTTCCAATTTGTAACAACAATAATAAAAAAATGAGAACGATACTGAATTGCAAAAGTTTTATGCCCCAAATTATAAAAATTACTGAGCTGTTGAAATTTACAATGTAGTAATTTTATCGGAAGAATAACAGGTAGCTCAAAAGTTAAGATATTTATGCCGAAGTAAACTTATGCTCTGTGCCAATACTGAAGGAAGAGTGTGCTCTGTGCAAAAGAAATGAAATTTATACTGTTCAAAAAAACACACAAGTAGTTTCTCTTTTTAACTTTTCTTTGTTTCAATCACAGTTTATAAATAAATTAAAGAGCAGTTTTACCTTCATAGAGAAAATAAAGATTCCAAGAATATCTTTTTGAAGCAGGAAGTGTTAGAAAATGTATGCTATAATATACTGTATAATCTTGCTCCACTAAATTGTTTGAAGAAATAGAAAGAAAAGCTCAGTATCAATGAATGTAATTTTAAAACCAAACTGTATTCCTTACTTTTGCCCAAATTAATACAAATGAATGTTTAAGTACAGTAACTGATGTAAAGATAACACCGAGGCTATTCATTTAAAAAAGCAAAATGAGTTTTTAATACAGTTAAAAGAGAATTATAGTTTAGTCACACAAAACACAACATTCATTGCCTTGCATATATGTTTATGTACATATATAAGTATATACACACAGTTTGAATTTCTGAGGCAATAAAATACAATTTTTAAATAACTAAACTGAAACTATTAACTAAGTGATAAGTAAATAGTATTAGTAAACTTTCATTTTCTATTCAGAGAAGTTTGTTTCATAAACACAATATTTTATTTTGGGAAACATTCTAATTTTTTTTTGTCAAATGGACTTGTTAAAACTATGAAGGAGTTAATAAGAAAAACAATTTTTAACGCATTATGAAAGATCATACTCCAAAGGAACAGGACAGCTATTCAATCACTGTGCAATCAACCAAAAGGCTTTTAAAGAACCCCAGCTCGTTTTGTATTAATATAGCCATAGTTTGAACTACCTAATTCTAAAAGTGGAATCAGACAAAAACAGAACCACAATTGCTCATAATCTACAATTGGGAAACTATGCATAATGGCTATAACTTTCAGATTATGATCCTAGAATGTAACGGCATTTGTAGACGGGGTGTCTATGCAGGAGGTCAAAAAAGTCAAAATGACAACTGCACCAGCACAATTAAAGCCCTGCCCCCCCCTTTTATGTGAATGCTTCAATTGTGTGATTATGGCCAACACACACACACACACACACAAAGTTTTCTCAACATCTGTGTGTAAGAAAAATGTAATCTTTCACGGGAAGGAGATCAATCAAATTTCAAATCCTAATTGAGATAGGATTTTTGAGCTTTCAACCCGTTTACTAAGTTATTCTCACTCTTTACTAGAATAAAAAAATGTTGAAGCCAGAATGTACAGCCAGAATGTACAAGAAACACATATTAAGGTTTTAAGGCCAAATTTCACAGATTTTGGAGGAGGCATTTCCAAACTATGCACTTTTAAATTTTGATTTTGTAAGAATAATACAATAAACCTTTCATTCAGATATAAAATATAATGAAAATATTTATTCCATACTTCGAAGAAGTGGAGTAACTCCTGCCATGAATTAATAATACTTCAATTCAAAACACAAACCCGCTATTTCTCTATTGAGGATAAGTTAAATTTCCTACCTGGGATGCATAATTCTATCTTTTAAAGTTCTTTTCTTTTAATTGCCAAAACAAATGAACCTGCTTTCATTTGAGTACTTTTTGCATTACTGTTTGTACAAATTCTATTACTGCAATTGTTTTCATGTGTGTTCTTTAAAAAAACAAGAACTTATTTTTATAAAAAATAATTCTGCAATAATGCCAAGGTTCTGTTAGATTCTCGGGATAAATAAGTATTAATCAGATTTAAGACTATGGGCAAGTCTTGTCAGTTAACATGATTTTAGCTGATTTCAAAGAAATGAATCAGAGCTAGGCCTAATTAATCTTTGAAAGGAACGTACAAGGAAATGCCAGCCCTGTAGAAAAGACAGGGCACTAAAAAAAAAACCAGAAAAAATTCTGGTGGCAAACTGCTTTTATAGAATCTCCAATAGCTGAGCTCACCTCAAAGGAATGCCAATTTTATTAGGGATGATTTAAAGACAGACAAAAGGTTTTGTGTTTTAATTAAATGTGGAACAATAAGAGTAATAATAACTATTATGAAGTGAAAGTTTTCTTTCTCTGGCATATATATTTTTGCCCTTTCATATGTATTTAAACATTTATGCCATTATATCTATACATCTCTCTCTATATATATTACTGTTAATGTCACCATAATAAGCACCATGATGATGTTTTAATATAAGGCTATATGATCACTAACATGTTGATACTGTCTTGATGACACATGATCAATCAATCAATCAATCAAATGTGAATTGATTCCATGTATCTTCTAACTTTTTCCTTAAGAATACATCTGGAAATTAAATATATTTATTTTATTTAAACCCCCATATAATGAATCAAAATGCTGTGCATTTGATTCCCAATGTTACAATTTATTAAATAAATTTCAATGGTTTGCCTACTCAGGAGAATCTGCAAGTGTGGGATACAGTAATGCGTTCGAAACTCTGTCCCTCCTGTGAGCAAATAAAAAGGGGTGGGGCTTGCATTGCAGTGGAGCATTTGCCATCTTGCAAATTTTGACACGCAAGCCCCGAGCCCTCTTCCAGTTTTAACAGAAAAGCTTCAATAAGTTGTGTAACTTCTAGGAAAATTTAAAGTAAAATCTCTCGACTCAATTTAATTGGCCCTAGATATCAGTGGGGCTAGAACCAAAGTGGGTTATGTGTCCAGATTGCACAGCTGCTGTACTATCTGTGCCAAAAAGAGAAGGAATTAATTTACAGTGTCATAAAATGCAGAACAGACATAAATTGAGTTTTGTAGAATTCAATAAAACTTATTGCTGAGCAGACAAGTTTATAACTTCTGTAGAAAAGATTGAAATCTCCAACTTGCAGTGAAGATAGTCAACAATGCTAATTTTAAAAGAAAATAATGGATAGTTGTCCTCAACACCTAGGCAGAAGGTGCCCCAGAAATGGGCTACAGTGGTTATATTTTCTACAACTTGTGATTTTCCACAATATTTTACCCTCTTCGTTTGTGTTGCTGCTATTAGATTGGGAATGTTCAGCACCCCAAGAAATTATGAGAAAGTGTATTTGATAAAACTTTTGAGTCCTTTTGATTAATGTAATGTATTTAAAATTGTTTCAAAAAGACACAACTTGTTAAGTTGATTCAAATTTAAATTAGTAAGCTGAAATTATCAAATACACACAAAATATTCTTAAAGATTCCCTTTATTTCCTTTCATTTCTTCCTTACTGTATAGTGCAGAGTTGGTGTAGTGTCAGGGGTTTCGGTTCAGTATGTGGAGTGTGCAGGATGTGTGTTTGTGTTTATTTTCATGGTCATGGTCATGATAGGCACTGAAGATTGTATTTGATTTCGTTGTATGAGGTGCAATGACAATAAAGTAAACTAAATTACTACAAGTAGCATGTTCATCTAAATTACGGACATATTTTACATGCAGCTTTCCTATATTTTCATATACATCCATTAACAGACCTCAACAATTAATCAAAATTTGAACCATTACAATAAAACCTTTCATACTACACAGCCCTTAAAAATAGTATCAGAGATTATAATTAAAAGGGTATGACAGAACAGCTCTACAAACAAAATTGTATTTGTCACAGACTCTTCCTTTATGCTTTTTCTTTTAAAAAAGGACAATATTTTTAGAAATCTTTATTCTGAGTTCATTAAAATAAATGGGGCTTACTCAAAAGGTAAATTTCACATTTACTGACACTAAATATGATCTGATACAATGTAACAGTAAAGTATTGTCAGAATTAAGCCCTTAATTCATAAAAAAATTTAAAGTTTGAAATTTTGTATTTACATAATTCATATTACTTAAGTTGATTTCTTTTTAAATACATTTGACTTTTCAATAAAAGAATAAGATCAAAACTGAATTTTCCACTAAAAACAGAAGAGGAAAAATCTTTAATAATTTGCAAGTCCTGTATGTGTGGTTTTCCTAAACAAAACTTTTCAGTTATAGTTTACCAATCATAGAACAATGTCAATATATTTTTCCATGTGTACAAGCTATGAACACAAAATATGCTTCATTAACACAAAATACATTAATGCTTCTTCCCCACAATGCCCTCATTTTTACAGCTAGCTTTAAATAAAATAACCTTTGTAGGATGAAATGGAATTTGGCCAAAAATATGCAGTTTTGACCCAGTTTCTAATTTTGCCGAAGCCAAACATCTGCACTTAAGGTAGGTATCAGCACAATTATTTTTTTAAAAAAGATTTGCTTCAGAAAGGTGGTTCATGTATATAGTTTGTATTTCTTCTTGTTTCTCTTCACGAAATTCTGATTTCTAACCTACTCCTTTTAGAACATTAAATTATTGGCAAAATGCTTGCCAGATATTTCATTATCTGCAAGTAATGTACAAATAATATGAACTTTATAGAACAAATGTTTCCTTTTAAGCAACTGTAAGAAATTAGGGATCCCTATTCTTTTAAAAATGGATGTTTTTTCCCCACTTAACTGAGTCAGTTAAAAACTCCGTTTTTAAAAGGCATCCATATAAACAAATGAATATTCAGTATCTGTTGCTTAAATGATTGTAAATATTTTAAAATACTGCATAATCTGAAGTAAGGAATTGCCACGGGGCCTTTTTAGTGCTATTATCATGTACTTTCAGTTTCAGTTGTGAAACTGTACTTACTGTAACAGAGCAACTTAGTAATTAACAGAAAATTCCATGGCTCAGAATGATAGCAAATTTGAGAAACACTCCAGGGATTTTATAAATACATGAAAAGTAGAAAGCTAGAAGGCTCTTGAACACGAGTGAGTAAAAATTTAGTCATGTTCACTTCTTTTCTGTGCTACCCCAAAGAGAACTTCAGAATACAATGAATATTAGTTTTAGAGGCAGGCAGTTTTCTACAAAAGCAAAGCTTCACTGAATTAGAGACCTTATTCTTGGTTTTGCTTCTTGAGTTTGCTATTAATATTAATCATTGACATGGAAGCAATGACAAAGTAGGACGCTCTCCACTGCAAACCATTTTAATCCATTTGTTCAAAACGAGCCAGTGTCTTCTCACAAGAGGGAATAATAGAGGTGCAAGAAACCACTGTCTGACATGCAAAGCTTCGTTTACAGGGTTACTTGTTATTTTGCCAAGTTTGTTATGAAACCTGAATGTTAAAACATACGGGGGTCGCAGCCTTTCCATATAACCACTTCTATAATTTCCTGGTGTTTGCATGGAAAATGATGATTCTGACCTTACTGTATTGCCTATAAATATTGTATTTGTATTGTATTTCCTGTATGTACTTTTTTTTCTGAAATATTTCACTCTACTGTAAAGATCAATTCAAAAAGCAGAGAAAAGGCCAGGCTGGGAATGAGATGAGATTTATTTATACACTAGATGTGTCTTGACATATATTTTATAGTATTCAGAATAATAACTTCGGCCTTGCATGTTATTTGAAACCCAAACACTGAAGTGCTAGACATATTTTTTGCCATTTTAAAGGTTATACTGTAACCAGAATTTAGTCTACCCATAAGGAAATTAAATTAGGACAGTTACGGGATACAAATATATAAATTTACAGAAACTCCCTTTTTATGACCCGGTAATTTCTTTATTCAAGAAGGCTGAGAAGAAGCGTTGGATTATTTCAAAATAAAGCTCTTAATGGAAATAGAGAAAATGAAGAGTTGAAAAAAAGCATAGTGCAATTTCTAAAAATTCATGTAACATCAAAATGATCAATTCATTTTTAAAACAATGCTCATACGATACATTTCTTTAAACATTGTTTGATAATTATTCTGATTTTCCACAATGATCTAATATTTTGGAAGCTAGAATTCCAGAAATTAAAAATTGGGGAATACTTTGGAATGGATGCTATTGTGTAGTAACAATTCCTATTGGAAAAAAATATTTTTGTAATCCTACCATCCTATATTCTAGGATTAATTTAAGGTTTTAGAATACGTGAAAGAGTGTAATTAATATTTTTATTTTGCTGTCCGCTATAAGGTTTTATATTTGATGTCACAGTGAATTGATTGCCTAGTACATAAGATATGTTCATAAATTAACTTTCAAGTATTAGCTGTTTAATGGTATTGGGATAGGTAACCGTTGCAAGTTAAGGTGACAATAAAGTATCAACTTTCCATCATTTACAAAAATTAAATCAGTACTTCACTAAAATTGTGGGTTTGAATTTGTCAGTAGACATTGCTACCTAAGTTAATGCTATAAATCTACAGCAAACCAGCTGAAATAATCATATAGAGCACTTACTGGATAATCCAGTATGTTCACAATCATTTCAGAATGTAAGAAAATGTGATATAACACATTTAAGTTTTTCTGTATTTAAATGACCTTAAGTGTTCACCTTCTTAAAAAATACTGAAAACACTTGTGGACAGTCTCCATCTTGAAGGAAGAAATTTAAAAAAAAAACTCAAGCAGAAATGAAAAATAGACAAAGGAAGCTTCGTGGAAAAGCAAATAGATACTTTTTAAATAGCTGGCAAAGTGCCTTTTTAAAAGACAGCAGACATTGTTGTGCTGCCGTCAGGCTGTAGTTTTAAATTTCCTTTTCTATGGTAGTTGTTAGATGGGTTATATTATGTGTTTAGACCAGGAGTTGCAAATTGAGTTTTCTGGTCCCAAAGGTTGCCAGATCTTAATGTTTAGCAGGGCTCTGCAGGTGGACTTGGGGTTAGAGACAATTGGGGAGAAAAAGAACTGGTCGTTTTGGGCTCTTTGACTTGTCAAAGAGGCTGTGAAAATATGCCTTGAATTAAAACTTGCCCAGACAGGGATCTTTATGAAAGGGCATTTTAACGAAAATTTTGCAGAGAGAAAAATGGAGGGAGAGGTTTATCGTATTATCAAGCACCAAAAGTGAAGGCAGCCAAGCCAGAGAAGTGACTCCCTTGCAGCGAACGCTTCCAAGTGCAAATCTTATGCACGGCCCACGACAATGCCTTGGGTTACAATCCCACACTCACTTCTGTGATCTCTATAAACGTGGATAGAATCACACTGGACCTTTTTATTTATCCACCCCGCCTAGCAAAGGGGCTTGCCCAAAATAAGTTCCCACGACCGAACCCTGAAATTATGCTTCAAAAGGTCCGGTGAATTAATCAGACTCAAAAGCCTTTGACGCTTCAAGTGTTTGTGTGCGGCTGTGTGTGTGTAGTATGTGCGTGCGTAAATGTGCGCGTGCATGGAAGTGCGCGAGAGCCATTCATTTCCAAATCCACTAATCGAGAAAAATTGGCTATCTATTTATAAGAAGAAAGTGGGGTTTCAATTGGTTGATTGAAATGGCGAGATGTGACGCACAAGGACAGTTGGATGGGGAGAGAAACACTGAGGTGTGTGCCAAAATAGGCACACCAAGAAATGGTGTGTGTTGTGTGCAACAGTGCAAGGAGGAAAGAAAGTTGCCCAGGCCTTCCCTGTCGCTTCACCCACGAATGAACTTAGGCTCGCCGCCGCTCCCTTAAGCACCCAGCCGGGCCAGACCGCGCGCCCTCGCCCTCCGCCCGCCCGCCCGCAAGGACTCAAGCCTGGGGCGGTGCGGCCGCTCCCCCTCAGGCTCCTTGTAGGCGACTCGCTTCGCTCGCGAAGCAGCCCTTGAACTCGGCCGGCCGGCGGCTCAACCCTTCCCCAAGCCCCGCCTGACTGCGGTAGCCGCTCGGCCGGGGAAGCCTGAACTTGAACCAGCGAGGCCGAAGGACGCCGCCCCACCTTGCAGAAGAGGCGGCGGGTCTCTCCGGCGGCGCGCTCCCGCTCCGCAACGGGCGGTTTGAGAGGGCCGCAGGCCGGGAGGGAGGAAGGAAGCGCCCCCTCACCGTGCCAGCCAGCCAGCCCGAGCGGGCAGGAAGTGGTTCGCGAGCGCGGCGCGGGGACCCGCGCGGGTGAAAAGGAGCCCAAGTTAGGCAAAGTCGGCAAGGCCGAGGGGGCGCGCGTGGCCTAGGCCGCGCGTGACCGCCTGCCCTGACTCGCTGCGAGGGGCCTTTTCTGCCAAGAGCGGCGGCCTCCTTCCCGGCCGGCAGCGGAGCGAAGCAAGCCCAGCTCGGGTTTTTGGAGTCGGCGCCGGGCGCTGGCCCGTCTTGACTGGGGAGGGAGAGGACAGCGGGGGGGGGGGGGGGGGGGAGACGCAACAGCGCCCCCCACCCCCTCGGGCTGAGTTTCCGACGGGGATGCCACCTCGCCGCCCCTCCCGCCGGGTGCCAAGCCGGCGGGTCTTTGTGTGCAAGGCGGGCCTCCTCGCTGCCCCCCCGAAGGAAGAGGCGATGCCGTGTCGAAAGCGGAATCCGACTGTCCCCCCCCCCCCCCCCACCCCCGCCCGCGCTCGCCTCCCTCTACATCTGGCTCCCGCGCGCTCGCGTGCGCACGTGTGGAAAGCGCCTGCCTTCCCCTCCCGCGCTGGCACGGCCGCTCCGCCCGCACAAGGAGCTGCAGTGCCAATCGCGGGAGGCCAAGGAGCATAAACTGCGTCCCTCCAACGTCCACCCTTGACCGGAGGGCACGGGCGTGGGGGCGCGTCTTGTTGCACGCCTATCGGGACCGCGCGGGGGGAGTGTGCGTGTGTGTGCCTGCGTGCAAGCCAGGAGGAGGTGCGTGCGTGCGTCGGAAGAGGAGGAGGCCTGGTTCATCCACGGCTCCAACCTTCGGCTGCGGCAGCTCGGGGCCGGGGCCGTGCGGGTAGCTGCTCTTCACCAGCCGCTTATCGAGCGGTCCTCGCCGGACGGCTTGGAATAGCTTGGGGGCTCCGTGACTCTCCCGCCGGCCTGATATTTGGGCTACCCTTCCGGGAAGGAGGGTTTTGCCGGCGCTTCCCCTCCGCGGCCCGCGGCCGTGGACGCCCTTAAAGCCCGTCCCAGTCCCCCCGCTGGCTCTTTCGGCCCCGCCCGGAGCGGGGTTCACGTGTAGGCCGTGCAGCGTAAGGTCCAAACAAACACCACACGGAGCCGGACGACTCCTCGGGCGCCGAAGCCGGGAGCCGGCTAGGTTTTCGGGGCAAACGGGGGAGTGCGGAGAAGGTCTCCGGCGCCCTCCCTTCGCATCGCTTGGCCCGGGGCTTGCCTGCCTGTTTCTCTCCTCCCACCCCTCGCTTGCCGGCCCCTCGGGGGTGTTGCAGCTGAAGGTTGGGGAGGGCAGGTGCCCCTTCTAGAAAGAATAGAGGGCGTGTGGGTGTGGGTGTGTGGAAGGAGCGGGCACAGGAGCCTGCCGGGTGAAGCCCTCCCGGAGTTGGTCTAAGCTAGGCAGCGATTCCATTTTGTCCAGCAAAATGGGCGTAGGGAAAAGTTTCTGCAGGCATTGCATAAAGAAGGGGCATTCCTTCCCTCTTTCTTTCTTTCCTTTCATTCTTTCCTTCCTTCCCTCCTCTCTGCCTTCCCTCTTTCTTTCCTCCCTTTCGTTCTTTCCTTCCCTCCTCTCTGCCTTCCCTCTTTCTTTCCTCCCTTTCGTTCTTTCCTTCTTTCTTTCCTTTCCTTCCCTCTTTCTTTCCTCCTTTTTGTTCTTTCCTTCCTTCTTTCCTTCCCTCCTCCCTCCCTTCCCTCTTTTCTTCCTTTCGTTCTTTTCTTCCCTCTTTCCTTCTTTCTTTTACCCTTTTCTTTCTCCTTTCATTCTCTCTCTCTCTCTCTCTCCTCCCCCCTTGCATTATTCAAACTGTCACTGGTTGGTGACTCGGAGGATATTAGCATGCATCAGACATGCTGTTTGTCTGTTTGCTAACATTCTTCATTCAAGACTTGTTAACTGCCAGACAAGCTTAACGCACGCTTCCCTCGCCTTTCCCTTTCTCCTCTGGCTCTCCCTCTCTCTCTCTCTCTCTCATGCCAGCCCGCTCTGCCTCGCCTATTGTTATTGCCGGGAGCTGGCAGCCGGGTGTCTGGGGGGGGGGGGCGGAGTGGGCAGCGGTGGGCAAGAGGTGGCAGGGGGCTGAAGAGGCTTTGCACAGTCCTGCTGGGTCAGCACTGCCTGCCTGCTCTCCCAGGCCTGCGTCCGTTTGCAGAACGCCGGCGCGATCGCGGCCGCTCTTCCCGCCCCTGCTTTTCGCCGGAGACCGCGGACGAGCAAGACGGGCGGGCGGCCCCTTCGCGGCTGAAAGCTGCTTCCTCCTGGGTAAGCCTTGGTTTCTTTCCCCTTGAGCGCTTCTGGTTGAGTTTGGGTAGCCTTTTTTCTCCCCGAGGACGATGCCCGCCGAGAGAGCGGAGCAGCCGAAGAGCCTTTCCGAGCCTGAAAAGGAAGTTTCGACAAATAGAAAGGAGATCTATAGATTTCCTTTGGGGATCTTGAGGGAGAGTAACCCTCCCCAATATTCCCCCCCCCAATAGAAAAAAGGCAACGGGGTTGGCTCTTTATTCTCAGCATCGGGTACATCCTTGTGCCAACCTTGCTTCAAACCAGCCAGCTTTCAATTTATGAAAACGCCGCAAAGGTCAACAACACGGTTTCGTTCTTGAGGCTCTTGCTGATTTCCTCTTTTAAATTTTATTTTATTTTGTTTTGCCACCATCCTCTCCTCTGATTCCCCTGGTGTATAAATGCGCTGGAGAATTGCTGAAGAAAGGGCTTTAGCAAATGGATCTCTTTGCCCAGGTAGGAAACTGCATGGAATTGTGCAGCTCGCGATGGCTGCAATAGAGAACTTACTTTTCACACATCGGAGCTTTCCTTCTGTTTTTAAGAATAAAATGCAAATATAGACTTTGCAATAGAAAGGATAATTTCATTCAGTTCTGTTTTTCTTTTCTTTTGGGGAATATAATTTCATGACAATCACCTTTCCTTGAGAAGGGCAATCACACATACTTCTGTGTGCCACATTATTAGTGAATGAAAGAGGATGGATGTGATCATTACTAAAAAGCATTTAAGCTTTTTTAAAAAGTGCAAGTGAGTGTAGTATGTGCAAAACAAGGCATAACTAATATATAAATATAGAGACAATGAAAAAAAATCATTAATTGATGCACACATGTTTTTTTTTTAGCTTGGCACATCAAATATTTCCGTCTGGTGAAACGAGGTTTTTTTTAATGACCGATGCAACTGTTTTTGCATTTACTAAATTTAACTTCAGAAATTCAAAAATATTAAATTGTAAAGGAATAGAAGGTATCTAGTTAAAAACTACTTTATGCAGAGATTGCTTTAAACCCTGGATGTGTGACGGGGTGATAGTTTGTAGTAACTCTGTATTCTTTCAGTAGTATCTAAAATTGAAATCACAGCTGATGTGCGTAGGATATTTTTTGCTAGTCATTATTGTTAGCTGGGCATCAAGACAATACATCCTCTTGAAATAAAAGGTGCTAAAAGTTTACGTATTCTTTAATCTTGCTGACTTTTTAGTTCTTTGTTGTATCATCATATTTAAATTATAAAAAATGGGATGCATTGCTAATGTCTGAATATCTAAAAACTTATTGCTGTTTGTTCAATATTTGGAATAGTACAGTTCCTGTTGTTTGTGATAGTAAATATTTTGTTTGAGGATATTTTAAAGAATAATTAGACCAGTCCTTTCAATCAATCTTTTAATTTTGGGGTAAGACTAGATTTGGCAAGAAATATAATGAAGTGTATGCTATGCATTTGTAAAAGCTGTGGAAAAGAAAACTAGGATTTTTTTAGTATAAAAATTGAAGTTTCCAGCAGCTATGAAGCATACTGTCTCAGTTCATTCAAAACTATTGAAATGTTAAGAAATTAAGCCTGCATATATATATTTTAGGAACTGAATCCTACATAAATTTAAAATAAGAAAAATTACAGTCACAAATTAGGATATAGTATCCATCAGTCTGCTTGACTGCCTGTCTGTCTGTCTATCCATCCATTATATTTTATTACATATATGTATTTGTGTGTGTATATATATGTGTGTGTGTGTGTGTGTGTAATTTTTAGCTGTATAATTTTGTGAGATTTAGGCTTAGGTACAACTGTTTCAGGAGCTCTGCACTGCCTTGCAAATGGCTTTGTCCTTTACAGTGGTTTGGCAAGGAAATACATTGAATACAAAACCTGTTTCCTTGATGAAAACCTGCCAGTATTTCAGAAGTTGTCCTTTTGGGCAATGTGGAAGAAAGAATTCTGTGAGAAAAAGGTACTAGGCATAACGAGGCCTACAAACACAGGAAGGCTCCCTGTATTACTTGCCAGTTAAAATAAATACATTTTTTATTCGTTCATAACACCATAATCAAATGACCAGTACAAAATATATTACAACATATATTTGATTGATTTTTTTAGGCTCAAACTCTTCTTCATCAATTTATCTTAAAGGAGGATCTGTATTCAGTTGCTCATTTCTCCTTTTGATCAGCTGATCAACAGGACTTTGGGTTTGAAAAAGGCTTTCTTTAAAAAAAAAAAAACTCCTTGAACAATTATTGGGAATTGCATGTCCTGTTCTCAAGATGTACATGGTTGAATATCTCTCTGGTATGCGTGTGCCTAGAATTGTTCCGTACATGTAATTCAGTTCCTCGTAGGAAGGAACAAGGTACCTTCAAAGAGCATCAAACAATATAAGAAAATAAATTCTAAACTGATCATATCACACAAATTGTAGTGTCAATGGAGACAAGTTGTCTTTTTGCAATTATTAGGAAAATCATACTTTTTATTAAATAAAATGCAACACAGCTTTGACTGCCTTCTTTTCCCAAATTAAGAAATTGAGTTTTTTTAAAAAAAAAATTTTTTAATCATCAGCCCATTCTTTTCTTCTTTTCTTTTAGCGAAAATATAGACACACGAACACATATACACAGGGACAGTCAGGCACACAAAATAGAGCAATGCATGCAGCCAAAGCATTTCTCAGAAAGGGGAAACCCAGGAAACTGTCCACAATTAGGCTAAAATAAATTAGTTACTCCCCGTGAGCTATAAGATTGAAAGTAAGGGAAAATTCTTTAAAACAGTGCTCTTCATTAACAATATTTTTTTCTGTAGAATTTCTTGAAGAATGCATTTTAATTATTATTAGCAAAAGCATATGCCATACAAAATAATTATACATGATGCACATTCTCAGCAGTATTAAGCTTTGAAATCTGGGTTTTCATGTCCTACTAAACTGCATTAAAAGAATAATTTTGAAAAATGGTTTTCCCCAAGTGTTCCTTGAGGAATCATTGGATCACCTTGCATTGTCATTAATCCGTAGATATCTGGGGGTGAGGTGGAATGACATCACATCATGAGAACTATATAAACTTTTGCAATGACAACTGAATGTGTGTCATGTCACGCTAGCTTATAATGGATGCCTATGAATGGGACAGATCTTATATCTTGTGTTTAAGAAATGCAAAATGGAATATGTGTTCCCAGGTTGAAAAAGTCTGTCTGAACGATTTCTTGCTGTCAGACAAAGAATTTATGGGATTTTTTCTCCCAGTCTTATGTGATCAGTGTGAAAAGGGAATTGATCATCAGGAGGCACAAATCTGATTCGATTGTATTCATTGCTTGACAGAACAGTTTGGTACTCTATCCCAAGTCTACTTAGGGTAAATCCAAAGAGAAAATGGGAAGCATGTGTTATTTTTATCGATGAGCTTTCATTGTGTGCATGGCATCCGGGTACAATGTTTGCAGAATGATTAGAATGATAAAGAGATCCTTGTCTAACTATAAACCAGGGATTTGCTCTGTTGTGGGTATTTATAAAGTTATCGCTGGTCTACAAATAATAAAAGCAAGAAGGTTGAACGGTTGAATCGCTGGCCTGAGAAATGCTCCGGATCTTGCACAAATTCACAGCATCTCGAACACAAATTCACATCAGTTTGTGATACAGCAAGCACATCTCAGCTTAATGAATTAGCTTTTGAAAGTAAAGTAGAAACTGCAATAGTAAAAGAACAAGATATTAACGGTTCTGTTCATTACATGTCAATGTAGGAATAAATTACATTAATCTTAGTCTGTTTAGGCTTGGGTTGGAAATTATTGATTTGGTTTGCTTAGCAGTGTGCCTGCTGGTATTTTGAGCATATCACAGAGAAATCCAGGTTTCTGTCCTTCTGTAGCTTTTATAAAATAGCTGGCCATTATAAGGGAAAGGTTCTTAGCTACCTTGGCTGACTTTAAGAAACTAAGCTGGTCGGACTTGGTTAAAACTAGAAGAAAGACCATGAGGAAACCTTTGGACCGTGGATTTTTAACCATCTAGAAAGTCAGCCTGTCCTTTTGGGATATTCTTCCAAAGGACATATCAAGGATTGACGCTGCTTTGTCTAATCCTTGACAGTTTTCCAAAATACAATCATATCCCTCCAAATTGTTCAGTGGGCACCCAAAAGAAGGCTCAGAACTATTATGTCGCCATTTATTTCAAAAATTACCTCTGCATCTCTGTATGAAGAAAGGACCCCAGTGGCTTTGCTTCCATTTACCAACCATTTTGGTTTTGTATAAATCAGTATCGTGGTTGGTTCTTAGTCACGTGATGCAGTTTTAAGGCAGATCGTGCAGCATTGCCTTAGATGTACAATGGTGGTTTAATTGTTTAAATGGCAATATGTTGTGAGCTTTGCTGCAGAAAATAATGGCATAATAATTTTATTTGGGAAATTTTTGTTCTGTTTCCTTCTAGGAGCCTAAAAGGGGCCTATTGCAAGCATGAGGCTTCATTATTGATATATTTATATGCTTATTTATTTTATGACTGCATTTATAAAGCCCACAACCCAAAGGATTTTAGGCAGATATTTCTTGTTTAATTTTTTTAAAAAAACCACGCATAAAGCCAAACACCATCTGTAGATTGACAACTGTAAAACCTGCTTCTTATATTAAACAATAGACAAATCAGAGAAAGGAAATGGAGTTACCATATAGTTAACCATGTCTGCGTGTTCTCGTTTACACCTCAGTAGCCAGTTTTTCGTGGATTAACTATTCAGATCCATCATGATCAAGGAACATCAACCTCAAATAAATATATCTGCCTGTGGATGCATAGTTGATGTTGCATATAAAGAAGCATTAGGAAGAAAAGAGTCAAACTAAGAGGAATAGTTCCTCATTTGGGCTCCCAAGTGGGACTCTTTTGCTTTTAAGTATTTTTGCCTTGTTGGTACAATCGAAGAGATTTAGGAGTGGCCATTAACCAAAGCTGCATAAAGAGAGATGAGGCACGGAGAGACGAGGAAAGGGACGTGAAGGGAGGGGTTGCAAATGTTTCCAGGCCTGAAGGACAGCCATGTTTTGTCCCCCACCCCTCCTCCTCCTGTGGGCTTGAAAGAGTCTGCAAGCAGCGTCTGGGGCATTGCCAAGGCAACTCGGCGGATGCTTCTTGTCCTGGCACGCTGCAGCTGTTTCATTGCCGGCCTTCAGAACAGCAAAACGGGGCGTCTCGTCTCGACAACCCTGGGGTACGATGTGGTGTGCTGCGTGGGGCAGGCCAGCCACACTGAGGTGCAGTAAGGTAACAAGGGAGCCCAGATGCATCAGCAACGGGAAACTGGATTCCAGAGCTGGTGGAGAAATGGGCCTCTCCTGGGTGATTTCAAAATGTGGTTAAAGCAGTGCCTTTTCTTTCTTTCTTTCTTTCTTTCTTTCTTTCTTTCTTTCTTTCTTT